AGGGGAGGGTAGATGCTGTGTACTGAGTCTGTAGGTTTTTAACGACGGTTCTAGAAGTCTGAGAGAGTGCATTGCAGTCTTGAGAGAACTTAAAAAAATAACAATAATGACTTGGGTGCACGGATTTATAAATGTTTTTAACTGCTCCTAAGTTTGAAATCTGATAAAGCAAAGAGAAAGCCTCAAAAAAGAGATGACCTTTTTCTTTTCATGAATTGATTTAGTTTCTTTTGCAATTGTGTCAAAACACGACTGCCTTAGAAATAGGTGACCGTGATGCAGTGTTGTCATTTTTCATTCCGCCATCCCCTGCAAAGCCGTAATTACCTAATTAAGCTGCTAATTATGAGATTAGTGTGGTGGGTACGCTGACAGAACGCTCTGACTTTCGGCACAGTTTAGGAGAACTTCAGACCTCTTTAGGGAAATGATCTGGCATTTGGGAATAAATTTACATTCGACTCAAAAGTTTGACACTTTTAATCTTCAAAACAAATCTCTGCTCTCTGAGTTTCCATATTTACTTCTGAATCATCCCAGACTGTGGATTGAGTAGTGTGGTGGCAGTGGGTTTGTTTTGAATACTGTACCTCCCTGAGCCTTTTTGGGCCTTTTTTTNATTGCTTGTGGAAAATAGCTATGCTTTTCCCCACACTGCCATTGTATTATAGCCCTTGTTTGCTCCAGGCTGAGATATATACTGAGGCTTAGCTTTCCTTCCCTGCCGTGATGTGCTGCACTGTTGCAAAGCATCTTACATAGCATACCCCAGCAAAGGCCTGCCAAAAGCCATCAGGAGCAGGACTGGCAGACTCCAACGTTAGCTCGCTTGTAGCTGAATGTGCAATGCACAGAGCAGCCGTCTCTCTATCACCATGCTACATGAGTGGCTAATTTGTGATCTCTCTTTTGTGGGGATTAAAAAAAACCTTTGACTTACAATCTTTTATTTTCACAATTCTTGAAATTGTTCAGCCAAGCTTGTACGTGTGGACAGGACTAGTGTGTGCGTCTCTTAAGCAGCATATAATGCCTGAAAGGTAGAATTCACGCATATGTTGCAATTTCCCCTGGCAGTCATTAAATCATTTGAAGTATAATAACAGTGTAGGAGGTAAATTAACAAACCATTAACAATGTTATAAAGGCCCAATTAAGGTGCCAGCATTTATTTGATGCATTGATGGGATAGCAGTAATTTTTGAGTGTGAAATGCAACCTTTTCGAACCTCAACACTGTTGCTCGCTCTTAGGAAAGTTCATTCTGCATTGCAGTGTTTAATTTTGATTTAAAAACAGTGAATAATACCAACTTGTACATCTAAAGTCTCAACATAGAAGCATTTAGAAATTGGCCCTACACCGATTATAAATGGTGTGTTTGCCTCCTTGCACATCAATATTTATAGAAGTACTTCAGGTGTACTTGGTATTTCTAGGAATAAATAATACCAAAAAAGGAGATGCTATATAAAGAATTTTTAGTTTCCGATAAATTCCTTTTTGTTTCCCATAAATGTCACAGATGTGACTCCTTTCAGACTCTGTTGTTTTTGAAATAGGAAAGAATAGACAGGCTGTGGGTTTGGATCAATGCCATGTTGGATTGAGTTCTGTAGCTCAGTGGTTAGAGCACTCGCCTCGCAAATAAGAAGACCTGGGTTCAATTTCTGGGCAGGGCGAAACGTTGGGCAAGTTTCCTTATTCCACACGCCTCTGCTTACCCAGCAGTAAGTAGGAACCTGGTTGTTAGTCGATTGGCGGATCACTTTTTTGGGGGTAATAATTCCTTCAAAAAACATAGTAATTTGGTCACTCAATCCACAACTGATTGTAGGACGCTGCTGTGTGCAATTGGCTGCCACTTTTCACCCACAAAAACACAGTCAATTCACTTTACAGTATATTGTGTGAAGCGCTTAAGACCTCTCCAAGATGTGATAAGGTGCTATATCAAATGCAAGGATTATTATTATTATGTTTCTGATACTTTCAAACTAACTGCTGTCTGTGCTACACGTCCAAAATTTCAGCTGGCAAACCCAGAATTTCTCCCAAATAGACCGCGTAGGACACCACAAAAAAAAAANCTTCTTGAACCCAAAACCTCAGTCCCGCTGAGTGTCACTTCATGATGACCATTTTAAAATCCGTCTGCAAAACATTTTAATGCACAGCTGCTTTCCTCCACCCTGAAATAGACTGAAAATACTGTGCCAATTAAATTAAAGCAAATGGTTAATTTTACGGCGGTATCTGATGTGTTATTAACAAGCACATAACATTCAATTGGCTGCAACCTCCTACAAGTGCTAATTTTTAACAAATAAAATCTTGTAGTAAAAATAATGCGCTGACGGTCTTTAGAGATTTATCCCAGTGTCTGCGGTGCGAGAATTAGCAATACAGTAATATGCTCTGCTCCGTGTAGAGAATCTGTTCATATTTCATTGGTGAGGATAACCTAATTGACACCAGTGAGTGATGGAGATGATTGTCAGCAGTTAAATGATCATTGCGCGCTTCCCCATTATGCGTTCCACTTAATTGTGGAAGTGTAAGGTCCTGTCGGTCGCTCGCAGTTTGTCCCACAAATAATGCCAAGCCAAAGGAGAGTCCTGCTGACCTTTCACTGAAATTAGGTGGATTGACTCCCAGACTGAGAAGAGGGACATCTCTGCCTTCACGTCTGAAATTCAGTGGCAGATGAAATATTGTTTGACCTACCCACCCCACCCACCACTATCAACAAACCTCACCTCAATGCAAGAGCTACAAGGTTAAGATGAAACAGGTTTGAGAGCTGTACTGGCCTCTTAATTTTGTTTGTATTGTAGTACAATTCTTAACCTCGCAGACTCATCACTACCAACAAATGTCAGGGAAATAAACCAGTGACTGGATTAAACAGCGAAGCACGGGGCCACCATTTCACAATGTGGGTCAGCCGAGGGAACCACAGCCACCATTCTCGCTGCTTTCGTTCTGACCTAGTTTCTCTGCACATTTCAGGAAAAGACGCAACAGGCTCCTTATGCCTGGCTCTGTTTGTGCCGAGGAGAGCTGTGAGGGAGCCTGGGTCAGCAGGGGTTGCGGTGCTGGGTACACAGAGAATGGAACCGCAAACATTCAGCTTCTGTTAAATGATTCGAGGCATGATGTCCACAATCTTTCTTGTAGTGTCCTTAATGAGTAAGCTTTTTTCTTTGTGTCAGTGCTGTCTTTACACCAGCATTTTTAAGCACCTTGCTCTTCAGTCGCTTGGTTGGAATTATACATTTAATAGTGGTGATTGTCAACATAATAAGCAGTAAGAAAATTACATGTTGAGCAATTTAAGTAACCTTGCAATCTGTCAGAGGCATTGAAAGACAACAAATATGATCGAGTTATAATTTTCTTGAACTATATTACAGTGTCTTGAATACAATAATGTTTGCCTGGATATTAAAATACCAAGTTATTCCATTTTGCCGATCTCAATTATTGGTTTGTTTTGTTAATTAGTAGTTTGAAACATCATGTGCACGGAATAAGTATATAATTTGAGTTTATCATGAAAATGTACTTTCACTTGCAAAATGGCTAAGAGCCAACCAATCCAGTGTGTGGAGTTGGGCGTTAAGACACTGCGATGCTGTGCTTGATGATGATAATAATAATCCCTGCATTTGATACATCGCCTTTTACGTCGTTGAGACCTCTCAAAGCGCTTCACAGGATTTACTGTAGAATTGTTTGATTATCTTTTGCGGGCAAATCTCGATTGGCTGCTGTTTTGGTGCTATCTGACAAGTTACCTAATTCCTGACTGACCTGGCTGTTGGGTGAATTGTTCTGAATCTCAGTAACCCACAAACTAAATTGCTCGTGTCCTTGTGTTAAACCATTAAACCTCTCAGCTAATTGTGATTTTTTGTTGTTAAACACGGTGCCGATTGCTTTCCGTGCAATTTTAGTCCAGAAGTTAGGCTCAAAGAATGTTCTGTGAATTTAAAATATCTTTAAATATCTTTAAAAATTTCACTCATCCTCTCAGTCCTTTTCCCTCCCACCAGAGAAATGGGTTGCATTTTGAGAGATGACTCTTGTCACAATCCTTCTGAGCAGTCAATTACCAAGTGTTGCTTTTCAAAACAAAATGACCGACTGTTCCAAGCATAAGAATAGATGTAGATAATCATCTGATGTGGGAACACTGTGTTTGCTGCGCTGCAGGCTCTGTGAACGTGTCACTGTTGGAATACAGCTGGTGAGAGTTGAATAACGTGGAATGCGGGCTGGCTGGGGTTGTGCATTGATAGCCCGCAGCTTCGCTTCCCTGTCTTCAGTGGTCTTGGAGAAACCTGCATCTTGGAGCTTTCGTGGTTTTGTCCCTCGAGGTTGAGTGCGTTTGGCAGAGAACACGGCACTGGACACATTTGACTGAATCGCGCTTTCTTTTCCGTACTCGATGTTGCTCTTGCACAGTTAATGCACGGAAATCTCTCTTGACGTTGTGGATGGACACTTACCCCTGGAAGTCACTGCCGTCTCTGCTGACAGTGCTTGTGACTCAACAATCCCCTATATTATGAGTGGGACACTTAGTCCATTGTTCCCATAAATACACAGTCACTACACTTTACAATATATCCTGTGAAGCACTTTGAGATGTCTCGAAGACGTGATAAGGCGCTATATCAAATGCAAGGATTATTATAATATTATAATACAATTTCACTCATCCTCTCAGTTCTATCCCAGACCTGCCGTAGTACACGGAGTTGAAAATTGCAGGTGGCGTTTGATTTAACATGTGTGCATTTTTACCTTTAAGCACATGCCCTAGACTAGCCTAGACAAGCGTATTCAGCTCCACTTTGAGGGAAACGGCGCTGGACGTTTTATAGGACTTTCGCTCTGTGGAATTTTTTTTTAAAAAAAGCGCTTCAATGAAACGAGGCTAATTGGAATGTTTGGCCATTTGTCCCATTGATTTTTTTGTGGTTTATTTTCAGGTGATCATTCAGGATGTAACATGGAAAAAAGAAGATAGTTGTAAAAGAAGCTGCTTCATCAAAAGAATGGCCTTTCTGGACAACCCTGCCATCATCCTGGCCCACATCCGACAGTCGCACGTGACGAGCGATGACACAGGGATGTGCGAGATGGTCCTTATCGACCACGATGTTGACCTGGAGAAGGCCTATCCTCCCGCAGCGAGTGGCGTGCGGACGAGTGTCCAGGGAGAGGGCAGCGGTGAGACTCAGGGCTATGACTACTCGCAATCAGTTGACATTACCTCAAGCTGGGATTTTGGCATTCGGAGACGATCAAACACAGGTAACAGCTGATTGCATCTCGACTCAGTCACAAATTCCGTACAGTAACTGAATCATACATCGGCACTGCACTTTGGATATTTTGCCTTTTATATTTAGAATACTTAGTGCTGTCACACACCCTCACTAAAATGTACTCTACATCACGGGGAGTTGATAGACCCCAGTCAGGGTCTGTTACAAATCTGGGTGACAGATTCCGTGCTTTTTTATTGACATTTTGGCATTGAGTTTTTAAGAGAAATGTGGCAGACTGGACTTCACAAGGTTAGTCCAAAAGCAATAATTAGAAAGGCTTTGGGGTGGGGGAGGGGGAGCTCCCACCTTGAGCAGAGTCGGAGCAGGTTTGTGCATCGTGGAGGCGGAAGGGGATCTGACCACGGCGTGACGGGGGTCGGTGGAAGGGGGTCAGAAGCACCTGGGCAACCAATGCAAGACTGTCTGCGCGGATCAGTAAAGGAAGGAGTAACTTTATGTTAAAATTAATCCTTATTTTTTTCCTGAAGAATCGTATGACTGCTCATATTAAGATGACGCGCAGTACCATCCCCGAAAGAGGCTTGAAACAGAATCTTGAGTATTTTAGAAGGGAACTAGGCAAATCTTTGATTACAAATGCAAACGGGGTGTTCGGTGGAGAGGGCACAGGGCAGTATTACTGAATGGAGAGTCTTTAGAGAGCTGTCTACAGTCCCCACCCACGGGCTAAATGGCCTCCTCTCATGCTGTAAGATTTGATGATTTGCGGTCAAAGAACCTGTACCCTTTTACGCAGAATGTACTTAATTTACAGATAGAATTTACATTTCAAGAGAAAGGCATGTTTTAGCTCCATAAATAAATTAAACTGTAAATCTCAAATTGTGCGACATGGCACGGTATCGCCACCTCAGACAATCCAGCGCAGTGACTGGGATTTACTGCTAAAGCGTCAGCTATATATCTTTGGATTAATTGATGGCCTAAAACTATTAAAATACTTTATGCCTAAATAAGGCAAAGTGCAGGCTTGTGTTTTCCTTATCACTGATATTTGAACATTCGTTTAACGTTTGATCCTGAAGCTTTTCCAATTAAAAATTATTTTCAGTGCAATGAAAGTCCCAATGACTTTTTAATTATCTTCAAAAACTTGTTGAATGAAAGAATGGTTAATTGGAGTGATTTTATTTTTTTTGAAAAAAGTTAAAATTCCTTTGTGAGTAATGGGTGTGCAACCTCATGTCTAATTTATACACCTAAACGGCATTATGCTTCCCGGAGCAAGTGTGTGGACAAAGTTGACTGACATAGCCACATCTTGGGGCTTTGAGCTCCATACATTTTAACAAGTCATGAATATTCATTCTCACTTCAAACTAAATGTTCAAAACTACCAAACCCTTTGATATTTTACTTTGATTAGGGGGGGAAAAAAACAACCATCGAAATTAGTTCCAATTCTTTTGAGTTTAAGGAAACCGTTTAATAATTTTATTCCTTGTAATCTGATAGTCAATCGACTTTTACCAACCATTAAAATTTCTAGAAGAAACATTATTAATGATTTATGGTTCTGAACTGGCTTATTAATCACACGTGTTTTTACATTTTAATATTCTCTGCACTGTTGAAACTCTTTATGAGCTCTATTAATGTTTTATGTCTTTTAAATTCAATTATTAATCATGAACACTTTCAGAATTTTGTTGGTATTTGCATAGCTCTGGTGTCATCTTTGAAAATTTATGAATGTTTGACATAGTTATACTACAATATAAACCCCCATTTAAAAATGTGTAAATGTATTTCATTGTGACACTTTTACTGCTGACTTTCCCAGACAAAAGATGTTGTTTTTTTAGTTTTTCTTTCTTGACCTTCTCTTCACAGCACAAAGGCTGGAAAGATTGAGAAAAGAGCGACAAAATCAGATTAAATGCAAAAATATTCAGTGGAAAGAGAGAAACGCTGGACATTCAGGTAAAGCACTCACTCGCATGTGTTTGTGCCACACGTACCGTAAACATCCAGATTCAAAAGTTTCAAGAGTAACTTGTTTCCCTTTAAATAACTCCTTTGTCTGCATCGTACACAACACATCCAGAATACAGAGAGTGGGTCTGCAATTATGTGCAATTTGTGAAAAGAATTAGATTAGTCCAAGCATTTGGAATAATGTTTTTTAAAAATGCAATTGTTTGAATGAGATGCCCTGATGTATTTGATGAGTTAATATATAAAAACCTTTTAAAATAGTTATTTGATGGAAAGCCTGTGTCACGTGGCACATCTTTCTCAGGCGATGTCAGTTTCACTTTTTAAGGCATCTTAAACAAAGTCTAAAAAAAATCCTTTTAAAACCGATCCTACAGGAAACCTGGTCACCGTGTTCAATAATCGTATCACTTAGGCCATTACCTCAATTGCACAGCCTTTTGCCCTTGCATGCAAATGTATAATGCAGAGGTCGACCATTCAGGATTAATGGAAAAGAATTACAGCTTATCATCATTACGGAAGGCACTGCACAATTGACCAAGGTTTTAATGCTCCTGTGATTTTTATTTTTTCAGTCCTTGCTACAAAAATGTGTAGAGTCCTGTAGCTTAGTGGCTAGAGCACTTGCCTTGCAAGTGAGAGAACCTGGGTTTGATTCCCAGGTAGGGTGAAACTTTGGGCAAGTTTGTTTACTCCATGCACCTCGGTTTACCTAGCAGTATGTAGGAACCTGGTTGTTAGTTGATTGGCGGATCGCTTTTCCAGGGGTAATAATCCCTTCATAATAATAATAATAATTTGGTCCCTAAATCAACCCACGACTGTTTGTGGGACGCTGCTGTGCGCAAATGGCTGCCGCTTTTCGCCCACAAAATACACGGTCAATTCACTTTACAGTATATTCTGTGAAGTGCTTTGAGAATCTCAAAGACGTGATCAGGCGTTAAATCAAATGCAAGGATTATTATTATGGGGCTTAGTTTGCTTGTAAACGCTGCACTCTCAGTGGTTAGAGCACTCACCTCACAAGTGAGAGACCTGGGTTCTATTCCGGGCAGGGCGAAATGTTGGGCAAATTTCCTTACTCCACACGCCTCTATTTACCTAGCAGTAAGTAGGAAACCGGTTGTTAGTCAATTGGCGGATCATTTTTCCGAAGATAATAATACCAAAAAAAATAATAATTTGGTCACTCAAACCACAACTGTTTGCGGGACACTGCTGTGCACAATTGGCTGCCACGTTTTACCCACAAATATACAGTCAATTCACTTGATAGTATATTCTGTGAAGTGTTTTGAGACATCTAGAAGACGTGATAAGGCGCTATATCAAATGCAAGGATTATTATTATGGGGCTCAGTTTGCTTATAAACACAGCCCTCTCTCTGAGCCCATAAGTCTTTGGGTGGAGACAGGTGTGAGGTTGGTCCATCAGTTCCTTTGCTGGGCACAGCCAAGGAAAAGGTGTGATGCTGCAGGTGGGTGGGAATATGTCCCTTCTGGAATTGTGGTCGGGCCTTCAGCCTCTCAGCCCCAGGCTCTGGAACTCTATCTCCCAGTGCCTTCGCCGCTTCCTCCCTTTCCTCCTTCAAGGCCGGTCTCAAAACCTTTCTCTTTGACCGTGCCGTCAGCTCCCCTCTCGACTCTCTTCCCCCTCCTCGCTCCCTCCCTTCCCTCCCCTCACCCTGACCATTTCCCCCCTCCTTGCTCCCTCCCTTCCCTCCCCTCACCCTGACCATTTCCCCCCTCCTCGCTCCCTCCCTTCCCTCCCCTCACCCTGACCATTTCCCCCTTGCTCGGGTCATGACCCAACTGTGCAGCGCCTTGGGACGTCCTCCTGACGTGAAAGGCACTTTATAAATGGAATCTTGTTGTTGTTGTTGTTGTTGTTGTGGACTGTTACAGAATAAGGACTAGGCCCATCAAATCTGCACTGGTCTGTATCTTCGCCTGAGTCACGCAGACTAAACCTATTCTCTTGCTTGCTGTCCCTGCCCTGAAAATGTAATAATTCCAAGATGGCAAGGCAATAATAGGCAAAGGCTCATGACATAAAATAGAATGTTTATTACAAGTGCAGAATACCGCCTTTTATTAATTGGATATTAACCCTGTTTTATGTGTATGTGAAACCTAACCGCGAACTACATCACTTGTTTATTGGAATAATGTATTCAAACCTAATTCTCTGATTTTAGCAGAAGCACTAGGATCCTTGTTTGAAAAGAAGGACTTCCGAGCAAAGCCACTGAATACCGGCAAACAGTCTATGCTTTCCATCCGCCTTGAACAGTGTCCGCAGCAACTGAACAACCCGTTTAACGAATATTCCAAATTCGATGGCAAGGTGGGTGCAGAGAGAAGCTTTGTATTATACAGTATACTCCAGTTGTTGGATGTCCCGTGCTTTCTCAAACCATCAAGTTGTTGCTTGTGTGTTGCGTTAGGAAATACTTTTGAATCAGAGGAAGCTCGGGCTGATGTTGGTGCTTTCTGCTTGTGTGACTTTTGGATGGTAGCAAACACTGAATGAAAATGTTTCTGTGCCAGTTACCAGCATAACTGGGTCGTCTTTAGACAGGCATCATATGAAGCTAAAATACTAATAGCCTGTTATTCTTGTGTTGATTCATTCAACAAATTAGATAAATTTCAGTTAAATAATATCTCGGGATATAATATATAGTTTGGGACTCGACATGTCATGCGACTACCAAGATGGTGGAAGGTGAACTGGATGGATCTTGGTCTTCTTTCGCCAGCAAATTCTTATGTTCTTATGTATTGAAGCTGGTTCCTGTCAAACAAGAGGTCGATTGATTTGCATGTATCTCATCTTAGACACACAAACATTCAGCTTCCACAATGGATCCCTGCTTCCTCAAGTAATGGGGAAATTTCAAGTTACGAAGACATCTGGAGAAACATTTAACCCTCAAATCTGTTGTATTTTGGATTAGAAATGTGACTTCATTCCTCACAGGTTCTTCAAGTTGGTTCTTCAAATGCCTTCATGCCCTGGCACTTCCCTATAACTCTGACCTGCTTATTTCCCAGTCCACTGGCTCCTGCCCTCGTTCGACTGGCTCCGTCCTCCTGCATGTCCCTTTCAGCCATTATATCCCGAAATTCTGAAGCACTCTTCCTCTATCCCTCCGCCTTCCTCCTTTCTGCCCCATCTTCAGATCACACCTGATGGCCTTCCTTTTCGACCGTGCGTACGGTCCTCTCTCCCCTGCTCGGCGTCGTGCTCTGCTATTGTCAAGGGCTCTGGAATGCTAACCTGCATGAGGGGCTCTGTGTCAATGCAAGTTGTTGTTGTTGCCCATTGAGAGATCACCAGTCATCCCGCCAGATAAAGTACCAATTTACAAGAGCATCTTTTCTGTGTCACACAACCTAGGCTTGTGAGATCAGTCACAGCCACACATAAAAGGAATTGTAATTGTAAATCTTATCACAACAATTAATACTCTGCTCATCCTAATAATCAATAATCTGTAATCAAGTGATTTAATACCTTTATGTGAATGTCATTAACTTCTGAAAGACAACCACGTGTTTCATCAGCTCCTGGCAAATGTAAATTAGCCCGGGAGTTTCAGGCTGTTAAGTCCTCCTGTGCTTTAGATGATCATTATGAACTACCTGACCTTGTGGCGGTTTCATGTCTTGTGCTGCGTAATTAGGCTACAGTGTTTGAATTCACTCCCAGGTATGTATTGTGTTGTAAAACTGTAGGAGTTATACAGTAAAAGCAGCCAGCTAGATTATCTCTCAATCAGGCTGAAAACTTAGCTCAGTGCAGTCTTTCCCTAATGTACAATCAATCTCTCATATATGTCAACTTTGTTTTCTACGGTTATATTCATATATTTTACTCCACAAGCTAACAAAACCCAATTAATTCAATTGAATCCATGGTACTCCTTAGCACATGTGCCCACAGTTCCCTGCTATAAAGCAATAATATTCGAACCTCTTACTTGTTAACAGATCACTTTGAAAAGGACTGTGTGAGTCCTGCAGTTACTGGAGGAAGCTTTGGTGACAGGGAAGCCGGGAATTGAAGAATATTCAGAATTTTCACTAACGCAGAAAAAAGCAGCCAATTCCTTGTGTTTCTTACATTTTATTGCGTCCAATTCGTACTTTCTCCTCATTGGCATTGTCCTTTGTTCTTCGAGTTGGCCCTCAGCCTCTTCACGTGGGGTTCCACAGACACTGCTTGGTAGTCTGGTGTGATGCTCAGTCCTCCACGTGTTGAGGGCAGGACAGCCATACTGCTATCACCGGTCTGCCACACGTGAGCACAAGCTGGAGAGTAACACCACTGGCTTTAACTTCCTTAATCCCTGGGAAAGCCGCCCTGTTCAGCCAGGACCGTGATTTGAACCAAAGTGTTCCGGCCCCTAAGCTACAGCTTCATTAACCACACCATCAGGGTTGCTCAACTCTCCAGCTTTATCATTTCCTCATCGCTGAGAAACTCGTTCCAGCAACTAATTGTGATGAACTCTCGCTTTTCGTCCCAGTTTTACTTTCCTTTACCAGAAATATTCCAGTTTTAGATGCTGTATTCTCACATTGTTAGTGTAGCGATTTAATATAATAATAATAATCCTTGCATTTTGATACATCGCCCCATCACATCTTCAAGACGTCTCAAAGCGCATTACAGAATATATTGTAAAGTGAATTGACTGTATATTTTGTGGGCAAAACGTGGCAGCCAATTGCGCACAGCAGTGTCCCACAAACAGTCGTGGCTTGAGGGACCAAATTATTATTTTTTTTAAAAGGGATTATTTTGATTAGAACGTTTGGAGAGTTTTATTAAAGTTTTTATATATATATATATACATATCTCTATATATACTGTATATGCATCTGCTTCAGCCTCCAGCTGCCTTTTTATGAAGTGCGTTGGCGATGCACATGGTTTAGTTCCACTTGAAAACTGTAATGAGGCAATTACTGTGCTGTTTATAAGAAAGTTAAAATTATAGCTGTAAACAGTTGTTTGCAGTCGGTCTCATTTGTGGGCCTCAGTGTATTCATAAATAACTCTGAGTAGAGGTGCCCGTACAGTCACAGTCATGTATGTTTTACGAACCCAGATTGGAGTAGCTTGCTATTCTCCATTAAGAACAGTGTAGGGATTTGACAGCTTGCTTTCTGACAGCCAGTATGTGGAAGAGGAATTGTAATAGTTCACATAGGTTAGCGTGTGACTTCACGGTGGAAGGAGAAAGGGGGGAATATTTTATAAACACTAATTGCTTCGGTGTTAATTTTGTGTGTTGATCGAAGCAGTTCTTTTAAAACGTATCGTGGGGAATATACAGCATTATGCAGCCTGTGGTGAAAATTAATATGAATGTAGTGCCAATTATCATTTGCTGGTTGCTGGGTTTTAGCAGCATTTGGGGACAGTGGTCTGTAAAGAGAATCCTGCCTGCACTTAACTGTGTGTGGGGGTGGGGGGGAGCGGGGGGTGTTGGAGGTTAGTGTGTGTGAATGCGTGGGGGGATATTGTGAAATTCTCCATGAGATAATACGTTTTTTCTGGGTTCCATGCATTTGATGTCATTGGGATGCAATGCTTTAGGATGTTATTTACATTTCCCTGAACCCTAAGCCTGTGTTAGTCTCTCGCATGTCAAGTTTATTTACAGGCAGCTTCCAGTTATCTTTTAGTGTTGCACGACACACAGTATAAAAAGTCAGCTTGTACTTTTTGTGCGCCTGTAATTGGATTAAACCCCCTGTGTATGTTGAGTCTGCATGGGATTGAGATCCATTTGCTCCTGGATGTATCTCTGACATCCGCTGTAGGACAAATCATTCCTTGCTCCCCATTGCCTTGTTGGGGTGCTGGTTGAAACAGGTGGAGGTGCTCCTCACTATACATTGCAGTAAAACGACCTGCAACAACAACAATAAATTACATTTACACCGTACCTTTCATATCAGAACGTCCCAAGGCTCTGATCAGTCAGGAATCCGTACCCGAGCTGGGGGTTGCGATCAGGAGGGGTGGAGAGCGGGGAGGGGTAGGAGGGTGACCGAAGGCACGGTTGAAGAGGAGGGTCTTGAGACGGGTCTAGAAGGAGGCAAGGGAGGGGATGTCCCAAAGACGTGACGATGAAAACTTTTATATACAGAGAGAACATCAGCATTGCCTATTTCCCTCAATGCTGAGCTGGGGGTGAACGTGTCAGCCTCTAAGACTGCCAAAGCAAAAAGCCTTCCCTCTCGCTGGTGAAGCAGAAAGGAAAATCCAGGATTGGGAATTGGAATCGTGTTATTCATCTAGAATTTCAAATGTTCATCCCAATAATTGGGGGTAGGGGGCAGGGGGGTGTGCATAGAAAGTTATGGGATTATCAGTGCTGTCCTGAATTTTGTGAGCCGACAAATGCAATCCTATTGTTAAATAAAAAACAAAATACTGCAGGTGCTGGAAATCTGAAATAAATAATAATTATTATTTAATTATTATCTGAAATAAAAGCAGAAGTCACTGGGACACGCAGCAGGTCAGGCATCATCTATGGAGAGCAAAATGAGTTAACGTTTCAGGTCGATGATCTTTTGGTCATCGACCTGAAACGTTAACTCATTTTCCTCTCTCCATAGATGCTGCCTGACCTGCTGCGTGTTACCATTGTTAAATAAATAGTTTCCGAAACAACTTGCTCCATTTGGAACGTGAAAACACTGGACTATCTCTATTTCCTCGTTTCTTCTAACCTCCCGCAGCTAAGCCCTGCACAATCATTCAGAATCGCAGAAGATTTTATTTTTAGTCAGTGGAAGAAAGTTTTTTTTTCCTGTTGGTTTGGAGTTAGCAATCTGCTGATGTATTTGAGACGGTTGCAAGGTTACAGAAAAAATGGATTTGTAACCATCTGTCAAAACCCTTAACTTCCTTTTATAAATGGGTCACTACTGCAGGGAATATTCTATGGCAGGTGGAGGCGAGCTGTACAGTAGTATCTCTCTGCTTTCCCCGCTGTAAGCGTTCTGGTGACATACCAGATCTGAAACAGCTTTAGATCTGTTCCAATCCTTTCCAAAGATTTGGGAGCAGGTGACACACGAGCATTGGCAAACCTTTGGCAGGTTTCCTTACTCCACACGCCTCTGATTACCTAGCAGTACGTAGGAACCCGGCTATTAGTCGATTGGTGGATCGCTTTTCCGGGGGTAATAATCCCTTCCACAAATAAATAAATAATTTGGTCCCTCAATCCAAGATTGGTTGTGGAAAATTGCTGTGCGCAATTGGCTGCCGCGTTTCACCCACAAAATATACAGTTCATTCACTTTACAGTATATTCT